GCAGCACAGAGCTGGAGCTTTGCTGTGGGGCCCTAGGGGAGCCCCGCACCCTGAGCCTCAGTGTGGCTCTCTGTCAAATGGGTGCAATAGCTGTCCCACTTGCTTGGGGCTACGAACAGGAGCTTAGGGAGTGTGGCTGTGGCCACGATGACCGGGTGGGCCATCTCCCTGCTGACATTCAGCAGGGCCCAGGCAGCGGCTGTGGCCCAAGCCGTTCTGTCCCGGGGGCAGGTCAGTCTTCCTTTGCCACCTGCTGAGGGCCGACTCTGAGGCCTGGATGTCGGCTCAGGTCTCAGCCCGGCTCGGGGAGTCCACAGGGACAGTGATGACCCGGGGCTGGCTGCTGAGGGGGTCATACTGGCTGCGGCTGGATCCACTCCTAGTAGCCATCGCGCTGAGACCACCAAACGACAGCCTGGGACACGTCCTGGGGAGGAGCCTCCACCTCCTGGCTGGCCTCCAGGCTTCCCATTTGCAGGGATCACTGCTTGGGAGCCCACATTCAAGGCATCCAAGGGGGCGGCGACAGGAGCAGTGGTGAGGGTCCGGGGCCGTCCCACCCTGTCCATCAGAGCCACAGGCGAGGACATGACTGGGCGCAGGCAGCAGTCTCCAGGAAGAACTCGTCCTGGGACCCAAACTGGGGTGGGGGGCTCTTGAGGCTGTTCTCAGGGTGACAGGTCGGTTGCTGTTCCCACTGCAGGGCCGAAGAGGGCCAGACGTCGTCCGGAACAGGCTATATTCCGAGGCTCTACTCAAAGGCCACCACCTCCATGCAGCCCTCCCGGATTGCCAATGAAACCAATCCCTTCACCCTGACACGCAGCACACTGGACTTCACCATCTGGTGTCCCCGCATGGCTGTGAGGCCCTGCTGGGCAGGGCCTGGGTCTCCTCCGTTTCAGGTCCCCAGGGCCGCCTGGGCGCTGGCACGTGGATGGAGCCCGGCCAACCCCTCAGTCTCAGACGGGGACACTGAGCCAGAAGGAAAGGCTGCGTCTCTGACCGGATGAGAACGGGCTCTGGGCCTGTCCCTGAGGCCAGGGGGTTTGGACGGGGCTGGCACTCCTTGCTGGGCGGCCTGGTGGACATGGCCGCAGTGGGCAGGACTCCACCCAGCCACACAAAGCTCCCCTTCTCCGAGGATCCCCTCTCCCCTGGGCTGGCGCTGGTGGGAGGCGCAGACTCCACGGGAATGTGCCGGAATGTGCGGAGTCAGGAGAGGGGAGTGGGCGGGCGTCTCCGCCAGGTGCCAGACCCTCACTGCCCGGCCTGCAGGCTTCGTGCTGCCTCCTCCAAGAAGCTGGCCCGGGCCCTCCCGGCCCCACAGCTGAGGTCCTGTGGCCCCTCTCAGGCTCCTGCCTCAGCAGCTTCCACCCGCTGTGCCCCGGAGAGGGGGGCGGGGGGATTGTGGAAGGATCGGGGCACGCAGCTCGGAGTTCACCCAGAGCCGCCAGCCCGCCAGGCCTGTCTCCTCCTCTGCAAAACGGAACAACACCCCTGCTCTCCAGGTCAGAGTGAGGATCGAGGAGGCATCTGGAGCAGCGGGGAGAGGAGTGTGGGCTCAGGGGCCGTGCGGCAGCCGCGTGGCCTGGGCGTTCCTGAGCCCCACTGTGGCTCAGTTTCCCCCTATGTTCAGGGCAACAACAATGGGACCTCCTGCACAGGTTGCTGGGGGACCCAGTGCGTTAGCAGAGTCAGGAAAGTGTCTACAGAACAAGCATGTGCTCTGTGCCCGTACACAGTAGGTGCTCAACGAATGTGCATGGAACCTGAACCCCGCCCCGGCCTGGGTACAGAAGGCGCTACCCTGCAAAGGCGCAACGGGTGAGCTGGGCTCTCCCATCCCTGACCTCTCCCTAAGGGGGCACACCCTTCGGCTGTGGCCCCAGGGACATTGGGAGTCCGAGGGTGTGGACTGGCCACGCCCCGCTGAGACTCAGGGCCTGGAGGAGGGTGGTCGGGCAGGACCCTCCCTACTTGCTGAGGCCTGAGCCGGGCAGAGGCCAGCTGGGACTCAGGCTCCAGAGGGCAAAGGCGTGTGCCCTGGAGCAGGCTGGCTGGGGTTCGAATCCCGCCTCCCCTCCTTCTTGTGTGGCCAGGGACAAGCCGCCCGTCGTCAGTGCACTGCTTCCCAGCTGGCGATGGGAACAAAGACCCAGAGGCCGCATGGGTGGGTGTGGCATTAAAGAGAGCACGCCCAGCACGCCCGGCAGGGAGCCCCCACCAGCTGCTCCCCCCAGGCATCAGCGACCTGCTCCAGCCTCTTCCCCTCAGGCCTGCGGTTCCCAGACTGCTGTGGGCCAGGGGTGGGGCAGGGGGCCTCTTGGGCCCCTGCAAGTTGGGGGGCAGATGCTCTCCCCAGTGAGGTCGCCTCCGGGTCAGGCCTCAGCCCTGCCGCCCCTGACACATCATTTCTGTCCCTCTGAGCCCTCCTGACCAGGAGGGCCCCGTGGCCCACCCAGAGCCCTGGAGCCCAGGCGAGGCTGGCAGTCCACAGCTCCCACGGGCCCACCTGCGGTGCCACCCTCCCTGGTGGCAGCCACGATGCCCAGCAGCTACCCAGCCAGCAGCCTGGCCCAGCGCACGGTCCGGCCAGGCTGCCACTCACCCTCGTAGAAGCGGATCTTGTAGGGGGGCAGCCGGGGCCCAGCGGGAGGGAGCCCATCGGGAAGGGGCTCACCAACATGCCACCTCCCACCGCCCAGCCTGACCCTCAGCTCGCCTGGGAGGACACGGACAACGGACCCACCAGGGGTTGTCACGAGACAGGAGGTGGCCGCAGGGACAACCCCAAAGACAGGTGGCGCCTGGAGCCTCCGCTGAGCCGGCAGGCAGGCTGCCTTCACCCCCACGGCCACAGAGGGCGCTGGAGCATGCAGGGCGGCCACGAGGGCACCGGCTGAGGGGTCTCAGCCCCATTCACAACAGCCAAGAGGTGCACATGCCCCCGTGTCCCCCAGGGCAAGTGGACAAACGGGGTGCACACAATGGGATGTTATTCGGCTGTAAAAGGGACCGAGGCGCCCACACCTGCCACAGGACAGGCTGTGCTCAGCGAAGGAAGCGGACACAGAGGCCACATGTGGGATTCCATCCCCGTGACATGGGCTACGGGGGGAGGGGCCTGGGGCTGATGATAAAGTCGAGGTTTCTTTGGGGCACCCCACCCCCCAAAGAATGATCTGGAACTAGACAGGGGTGAAGGTCACAGGGCTGTGACTACACTAAAACCCCAGAGCTGGCAGCTGAATGGGTGCACGCCTGGCGTGTGAATCACGCCTCGACAGCCGTGTGACCCCGGCAGGTCCCGTGTGTCAGCAGCTCTGCAGGCCCGCTGCCCGGGTGGGGGGCCAGGAGTGCCCAGGCCGGCAGCGCCTGGGCCAGAGGGGCCTTGGCGACGCTGACCCTCCGTGGCTCAGGGGCTGTGAGACGACCCAAACACGATGTCAGGGGCCCGCAGGGACGGCCCAGGAGGAGGTGGGCCAGTAATAACAAAGCCCCGAGTCCTGCCGCGTGCCAGGCACCGTGCTAAGACCTCACCTGAATTTATTGTTTAACCTTCACAGCCCCCAGCGGTGGCTACATGGGGAAACTGAGTCACGCTCCAGGTGCCCTTTGAGGGCGTGTGAGCCCCGGTCTTTCCTGGCCAGCTCAGGAAGCAATCCCAGCTGGGCAGGAGAGCAGGACCACCCACCAGGGAGCGGGACCCCCCACCAGGGAGCCGGACCACCCACTTGGAGAGCGAGACCACCCACCAGGGAGCGGGACCACCCACTTGGAGAGCGGGACCACCCACCAGGGAGCGGGACCACCCACCTGGCGAGTGGGACCACCCACCTGCAGGTACTCCGTGAAGAAGGACCCCAGCTCTGTCTTCAGCAGCTGCCTGTGGGCAAGAGGGGAGAGGAGAGTGAGGGAGAGTGGGGGTCAGAGGGCGCCCTGGGACCCCTCCTTCCTGGCCCAGGAGCAGCAATGTCCCAGGCAGGGCGCAGCCTCACCGCACAAACGAGCTTCGAGAACCGAGGGGAAACCTCGGGTAATGGGGCCATGGATGGCTGGTCACAGGCTCTCGTGGGATCAACGTGAATGGCCAGTCACGGATTTAACGCACAATTCAACTCACTTAATTTAATGTGGCCACACGATGGGGAAGAGCTGGGGTAGGGACAGCCCTGAAGGACCCGCAGGCCCTGGAGTCAGGGGCCTAAGTCCCAGCTCCAGGGACCAGTCCTCTGACCTCGAGCGAATTACGACCTCTCTGTGCCTCAGTTTCCTCATCTGTAAAATGGGATGATAAGGCGGCCATTCCTCAGGCGCTGTGGAGTGTGAGGCGTGGGAAGCGCAGGGCACGCGGCTGGCACAGAGCGAACTCTCAAAAGCAAGGCCCTGCTGTCACCTGACAGCTCCCGGCACTCGGTTTTGAATCGGCTGAAGCGAAGCTGCCCAGCCCGGCGGGCGGGCTCAGAGGCTGAGCCTGGACCTGTGAGCCAGGTCACGGCTCTGTGACAGTCAGGGCCCAGGCCCGGGCTGCGGGCTGGGTCCCCAGTGTGGGGCGTGCAGGAGGCAGCCGATCACTGATTCTCTCTCATCACTGATGTTTCTCTCTCTCTCCCCCCCTCTCCCTTCTTCTCTTAAATCAATAAAAAAAATATATTTTTAAAAAGACGTACTGTACTAAGTCTGGCAGTACTGTGGTAAATAAAAAGATTGTGTTTGTCTAAAAAAAGAGAAGTTGCCCCAAACAGCCTGTCTGGCCCCCTCACCTGACCTCTACCTGCTTCTTGGATAAGGATCGCGGGGCTGTCCAGGGGGTCCTGGGGCCCAGGGGTACATCGCTGCCACCCCCACTCCAGACACACACTCCGGAGGGAGCCCCTGTTTTACTCAGTCCCCAAGGGCTGGTGACGAGGGCACGTGGTCTGGTGTCAGTTGCCCCCTCCCCCTCCCACCCCTCTTCCCCCTCCCTGTGCTGTTTATGCCGAGGGGCAGCGGGTAGACACTGCCGGAGGCCGGAGCCTGTGCTCTGCTCAGGAATTTGGAAATATTTCCTATGTTCTGTGGCTTAAACACAGCAGGTTCTTCAGGCTGCGACAAGTCCTCTCCCTAAGCAGAGGCCTGTTAGGAACACAGGGCTGTGTGAGCCCCACCGACACCCCCGGTGGCTTCTGCCCCTCCCCCCCCCCT